AGGAGGTCGTGCTCCATCGTGTCCGGCCCGCTGTCGGGGTGGGGCACCGCGCGGAGCACGTCGTACTGGCGCTTGAACGGCTCCGGCTGCGACAGAGAGTGCGTGCCCAGGAGCACCTGCAGCTTCCCCTCGGGCCTGGGAGCGGGGTGGGGTCCAGGTCAGCGCACGCCCCCTCCCCACCCCACCTGCTCCCCCGCGCCCGCGCCCGCGCCCGCGCTCACTGGTGCTCCAGGCAGTGCGCGGCGCTCAGCACCCACTGCGGCGCCACCAGGAAGCCTCCGCACAAGTGCCTGCCGTTCAGCTGCACAGATGCCATGTAGGGCCGCTTGTGCGCCGGAGCCTCGCTGCCGCCCAGGATCCGGCCCCGGGGCTGAGCCGCTGCGGGCAGCAAGTGGGGACTTCAGGGAGCTTCGCGGGCCAGCCTGCACCCCCCACCCCGGGCTGCTCCAGCCACCCTGGACCCAGAATCCCATCCCTGCAACCCTCCCCATCCCCAGAGGGCCAGCGCTGCAGGGCAAGAGGGGGGGACCCCAGAGAGAGGGGGGGCAAGTCCTTCCTGCTGAGCCGAAACACCCCAAACTAAGCAAGAAAACTGGGACCCACCCAGCCAGAAGTTCCCGCCAGCCTCTGCCCCACCAGCTGCCACTTTTCCTCTGTGGGACTTTGGACCCTCGCTGTGGGGAAAGCCCAGGCCCCAAGGAGTTGCGTGGCCCTCAGAGCCTCCCGCCCATGGAGCCCGCTCTCTGCCCAGCCAGTGGGCCCCCAAACTCATGCTGGACCCAGGGGACGCCGCCGCGGCCGGCCCCCAGCTGCAGACCACTCACCGCAGGCGGCCGCGCTCAGGAGGGCCAGCAACGCTGTGGACAGCCGGCACTTTGCCATGACGCCTCTGTGGCCTCAGGCGGGGTCCGGGAGTGCTTTTATGTGGGTACAGGGGCGGCCACTCCCACAGGCGCTCTCAGCATGGTGGGCAGTCGTCCAGCTGGGGAAAAGGGGGCCTGCCTGTCCTGCCACCCCCTCCCCGCCTCCCACGTGAGGTCAAGACCCTCAGATGAGCAGGACTGTGTGGAGGACTGGCCCCAGCACCAGCCCCCCGCCTGGCCTGGTATCCCCAGAATACCCTTCTAGCCTGAATGTTGCTCAATATTAACTGGAACCAGTTTGTAAACAATTCACTTCCGGATTGGTCTGCGCCTTCCTCCTTTCCCTTCCTCCCCCAAACTGGAGAGGGGGTGAGCGGAGTAGGGGTGGCCACCCAAGACCTTGCCGGGCCTGAAACACCAAACCAGTGGAGTGTTGGCAAGGGGGTGTGGGACAGCTGGAGAGAACAATGGATCAGGCGACAGAGAGTGAGTCAGGCTGCGGGACTCTGCAGCAAGGACACTGACATGGGAGGTCTGGGGCTGCCTTCAGGTGTGGCTTGATCCAGGCGCCTGAGCACTGTCACGTCTGTCTCTGTCTCTGGGCTCTCCTCTCCTCCTTGATGGCTTTTCCCCTCACTGGGCTCCACTGTTAGGACCCCAGGGGCCCCAGACTCAGTTCCGTGGCTCATGCGGACCCCTCCCCACACCCTCCACCATTGCAGCTTCTCAAGGCTGCCTCTAATGGGCTGGATCACATGCCTCCTCCAATACAAATCACTCTGGGGGGGGCCCCGGGTGGCGCAGAGGCTAAAGTCTCAGCACTATCAAGCTGTTGGAAGCCACTGAGGCCTGAGTTCCACCCCCAGCCAGGGAGCGACCCCCAGGGCGCAGCAGACCTCTCCTGTCTCCCTGCTGCTCCCCTCAGCAGTGTGTTTCAGGGGATCCGCCTTTTCTGCTCCCCCCTCTGTCCCTGGTGAATCCTCTCACCCCCCACCTCTCCCCTACACCCCAGTTCTTATATGCATAAAAAATATAAAATAAATCATAAAATAAAGCACTTTGTTCATGAGATAGCAAGCACTGATGAGCAGAACCTTGGACATTTGTCCCCCGGTCAGGCGCGGTAGTGGGTGGTGGGTCGACAAGTCACGAGCCCACGTGGGGGAGGATCTGGGCCTAAAAGATGCCGTCCCTAGTAAGAGCAGTGTACAGAGGATAAGAGCGAGCGAATAACAGATGTGATTTGTTGTATACTAACATGTTTCCTAATTCCAGTAAGAAACGCAGAACATTAGCCCATTAGGACAGGGAGTCCAGATGTAACTCTGAATCTCCAGCATTGCAACAAAACTTGGAAAGCCTCCAGGTGCAATAACCCTGATGGCTCCCAGATGCCATTTTCCCAGGAAAAGGCTGTCAGGGTCAGGCTCTGGGGGCAGAGGGGGTTGTGGCTGCTGTGGCCTCTCTGCGCCCCAGCATGTGAGGTGGTGTGAGCAGAGGAGCTGCTCGGGCTTGTGGGCCGCAGGGCCAGGGACAGGCAGGGACGGGCAGGCCGGGGACGGGCAGGCCGGGGACGGGCAGGCCGGGGATGGGCAGGGACGGGCGGGCCGGGGACGGGCAGGCCGGGGATGGGCGGGCCTCTCTGGGAGCAGCGAAGGTGGAGACCCGAGGGGGCCTGGCTGGTAGGGGGACTTGAGAGCAGGTGGGTGTGTGTCGGGCACGGCCAGAGGTTGTAGGGCGAACATTTATTTGCCCCTTTGGGTGGCTGTCCCCTCCCCCTGTACCCTGATCGCAGAAGGCGATCGCAGAAGGCCGGGCCTCCCCCTGTGTCCCAGAAGCCTCCAGTCCAGGCCCAGGAAGGCAGATGAGAGGGCCAGGCGGGCCACTCTCCAGGGCTGTAGCTTCCGTCCAGATCGGGGACCCCTGGGAAAGGCCTGTTCTGCTCCCCTGCCCCCAGCCAGAGTCAAAGGCTGGGGTGGGGGCTCATCTCTGTCACCCAGTGAGGCCGGGCCCCCACCTCCTGCCTACAGGGGAGCTGAAGTTCAAGCCGGGCTTGAACCCCGGTCTGGAATGCCTCCAACCCAATCTCCTGAGCACAGCTACACGCCTCTCTGTACCCCAATTTCCTAACAGTAAAAGGGGGACGCGAATAGGACCTGCATCACAAGCTGAAGAGGGACCAGACGGCTGAACACTTGCAAAGGCTCAGGATGATCCTGTGTCTTCAAATACCAGGGAACACGTCACGGCACTTGGCGCCACCCCACCCACAACACTGATGGAGTGGAAGAGGGTGTTACCCCAGAACCAGAGAGGCTCCCACAGGTCCTGGGACAGGTAAAGTCCCTTTTACCCCGATGCCTGGACTCTGCTGCCCCCTGGCGGTGCGCTGCCCACCACGCGCCAGCCTCCCCCTGCCCAGCTGAAGGCACGGGCCAGCCTCCCCCTGCCCAGCTGAAGGCACGGGCCAGCCTCCCCCTGCCCAGCTGAAGGCACGGGCCAGCCTCCCCCCAGTTGAAGGCACGGGCCAGCCTCCCCCTGCCCAGTTGA